TGCCATCCTAATTAGTCTTATTAATAAAAACCCGGAGTCAGACAAGGAGGTGAAAGCTCAAAGGTCAGAGAAGCAGACCAGCCAGCCACCAGAGACTTCTTACCTCTACAAAATCTCAGACCGAAAAGGGGCTCCTGTCTCTACGAATCCTCAGACTGAATGGGGTGGGACGGAGGATCCTGTCTCCACCAGCCTTATATTTCTGTCTCTACCTCCCTAGTGCACGAGCTTCCCAAATGCTGGGATCAAAGGTCTGAGCTACCACCGCCTGCCTCTGTTTCTCTTTTAGACTGAGTCAATCTCCTGTAGCCCAGGTTGGCCTTGAACTCCTGATCTTCCTGCTTCCTCCTCCCAAGTGCTGGGATTTAAGGTGTGTGCCACCACTGCCCGGCCTCTATGGCTAACTAGTGGCTAGCTCCGCCCTCTGATCTCTAGGCCAGCTTTATTTGTCAGAACACAAACAAAATCTACAACAGGAGTGGCTGCAGGATCTTTGTGAGAAAAGGATCAAATTCACTTCACTATATCTGTTACTTAGTTGCAAAGAAGGAAAGGTAATGGCCTTAACGAGCTGTTGAGAGTGGTAACAGTTACCTACAGATACTATTTTCTTAGGTTAACTTTGTTACTTTTGCTTGGTACCCAATGCTGTGTCAGTTTTTGCTACCTAGCAAACTACTTGCAAATCCAAAGCTTATAATAACTTGTTTAGCTCCAGATTCAGAGGCCAGGCATTTCTGGACCGACTCAGTGGGTCTGTGCTGGGCTTTCACATGTGTGCATGGGAAGTGGGTGCTGAATGATCGATGTAGCTTCACTGGCAGGCTGACAGTTGACAAGCTCCTTGTCGGGGTTCCCCGGCTTTCCTCTGGTTGCTTGAGCTCTTTGCAGGCTAGCCAGGCCTACTCACACAGTCTGCAGCAAGAAGGGACTCAACACCAGAGCACTGTCCCGTTTCTCATAGTATTAAGAAAAAGGCCTTATTTTTTTTTTATTCCTGCTTGGATTTGTTTCCTCGCACAGACTTAATGACACATGTCAGTTCATAGATTCACAGGTATTTTTCACAGCGCTGGGCAAAGCAGACGTCTATAGATTCTCATGGTGGCAGTGGGTGGAAATGGGTAGCAGGGCAATTGGAGACGTGGGGACCTGGGAACCTACCTAACTTCTCCAAGAGGGGGACCGTAGTGGGATTGCGGAGGATAGTGTGAGGATCCTTTAGTTTTGGGGGACCCCCAAAGCCTATTGGCAGGAAGACGGGAAAAGGTCGAGGAAAACAGGTCTTGTTATACCCCCTGTCAAGGCTTTTGGAGAAAGAAAGCCAAATTCAATGTCCTCTGACGTCAGAAAAACTGGGTCTGGGAGAGAGGTCCGAGACCCGGTGCCTAGACTTGCTCCGCCACGCCAGCATTCCTCACCACGCCCCTTGACCCCCTCCTCGCAACTCTCCCCTCCCGTTTTAGCCCCGCCCTCCACCTAACAGCTCCACCCACAGCTGCCCTGCCTCCGTCTTCTCCCTCGCCCCTCCTCATACCAGCCCCGCCCTGCAAATGCCAGCCCCGCCCACAGATCGCCTGACTGCCATCTCCGCCTTCGCTCCACCCCTCCGTATTAGCCCCGCCCCGCCCCCAGCCCTCCCCGCCTCCATCTTCGCCCTTGTCCCGCCCCCTACTAGCCCCGCCCATCAGGTGCCAGCCCCGCCCACACCTGCCTCTTCCCCGCCGCTTCTTTTCCCAGTCTTTGGTCCCCGGACTGGTTCCTCGGCCCCACCCCTCCATGAAGCCCCCGCCCACGGTCCGCCTTCCGGACAGCGCGAGGGGGCGGGGGCGGGGGCGGGGCCGGCCTCACCCGGAATGAAAACAAACGGCGGCCTCTGCGGCATCCGGGCACTCAGCAGGTCGCGGCTGGCGCGGCGGTGGCGCAGGTGAGGCGGCTGCGGCGGGCACCGACCGGGGACCTGGGCCTGGTTACTCGGCCGGGTCGGCCGTCGGCGCGGCGGGAGCGGTCGGGTGGACGCGGCGGTGCAGGCTCGGGTGGGAGCGGGAGGAGGGTGCTGCGGGCCCGAGGGAGGGGGGCAGACACTTGTCGTCAGCCTGAGCTGCGTTTTGAGAGGATTGCCCGGGGCTGACGGGCGCGGACAGCGGATCATGGTGGGTGAGAACGCCAGCTCTCTGGACCCACACTGGTCCTGCCTCCTTCCCTTCCCTTGCTCTTACTTTTAAATACGAGCCCCTAGTCGCGTGTTATTTCCTTGAGAGGGAATATGTGTTGAATGTGCGTGAGCCTGTGAGACTGGATTGATCTATTCCAGAAGAGAAAGTGAAAATTTCAACGTTAATTCCTAACGTTTCACTTTCGGTTCTGAACGCTGACATTCAGGACTCGAGTGTTTTTTCCGCGTTATGATGGGGAACACCCAGCAACATGCACAAAACTTGCAGTTCTCCAGTTAAAACGAAAAACTGGGCTATTAGATTTTCTTTCTTTTGACCTAACACCTGTCATTCTATTGTTTATAACTAGGCATACTTTTGAAGACCGCGATTTAATTTAAAAAAAAAAATAAATAAACGTGTCTCACTATGTAGCTCTGGCTGTCCTTGCAATTCTGTATGTAGATCATGCTGGCTTCAAACTCACGGGAGATCCTCCTGCTTTTGCTTCCCTAGTTCTGGGATTATAGGCGTGCAACAGTATGGCGCGACGGTGGTTTATTTTTTTCTTTGTTTTTGTTTTTTTGTTTTTCGAGACAGGGTTTCTCTGTGAAACAGTCCTGGCTGTGCAGGAACTCACTCTGTAGACCAGGCTGGCCTCGAACTGGCAGAGGTCCGCCTACCTCTGCCTCCCGAGTGCTGGGATCAAAGGCATGCAACACCAACACCCAGCTGGTGGTTTAATTTCTTTAAACATTAAATCTTATGTTAAACCAGTCATAGTGGCTAACGCCTTAATTCTGGCATTTGGGAGGCAGAGGCAGGCCAGTCTCTGAGTTCCAGGCCAGTCTGGTCTACATAGTGAGTTTCAGGACAGCTAGAGCTAAGTGGTGAGACCCTGTATACTGTTTTGTGTCAACTTGACATAAGCTAGAGTCATCAGAGAGGAAGGAGCCTCAACTGAGGAAATGCCTCCATGAGTTCCAGCAGTAAGGCATTTTCTCTATTAGTGATAAATGGAGGAGGGTCCAGTCCATTGTGGATGGTGCCATCCCTGGGCTGGTGGTCCAGGGTTCTATATGAAAGCAGGCTGAGCAAACCAGTAAACAGCACCCCTCCATGGCTTCTGCATCAGCTCCTGCCTCCAGGATCCTGCCTCGTTCTTGTCCTGGCTTCCTTCAATAATGAACAGCAATATGGAAGTGTAAGCCAAATAAACCCTTTTCTTCCCAACTTGCTGTATGGTCACGGTATTTCATTGCAGCAATAAAAATCCTAACTAAGACACCCTGTCTCAGAAAAAAAATCTTATGTGATGCAGACCTGGCAGCAATGTTGGGACTCAGACAGGAGTTGTGATAACCTTGTCTATTTTTTCAGACAGTGGACTGGTTACAGTCTGGAAGGTTGTTTTCAACCTTCTAAATAGCTAGGTACCCATAAGTTATCCCTGCCACCCTCCTTATGAGGTGGCAATGATCTTTTTCTTAGAATTTTTGTAGATGTCACAGTCCTGTGTCTGGTGGATTAAGTGACTTGTGTTTGCAAAGCAAATGCTCCTTAGTGCTGCTGTGCCTTGCTGTGAGGATCAGTTTGTAAGTGACTAAAAACACACGGCTCACCCACATTCACTGTTCATTCTGT